GGATATGAGCGCGCGCCGCGACAGTTGGCTATTTCTCCGGAGTGCCGTTTGGGGACAAGAGGCTGAATGACCCTTGGTCGATTTTTTGGGGGCTGCGCGATGGCGCTTTTTTGCCTGACGAAGGTGAAGCCTTCGTCCTCGGTCTTCGACGAGGCACGCTGATTGGTCTCCATATTGGAGTCCAATTCAGCATCCGGCAAGAGAGAGACGGGGCCGCGCAGTTGATGCGGTGATGGTAGGGCCGCAGGGGGAGAGGATGTCGGTATTGCGAGGCGCCACTCTCCCTACCCTGCGCGGCTGAAACTTGGTTGGCGATGGAGCCAAAGACCAGATCCGCCGCTGGGGTTGGGAAAGCGGGTGCTACCGAGCACTCGATTTTCCTTTGTCCATGGCCTCCGCGCATTGAACTCGGGGGAAGGAGCCCGTTACGAATGTGGGGTTGTTGACCGTGGAGGAAGACGTGCCATGTGTTCCTGATGCGCCTTGCCTGAGAAGAATAATGGGGAGAAAAAGTTCTCTCCAAGGAGAGACTGCCAAGGAGTGGCCAGCGCTGGTGGGGCCGCGGATGTGTGCTAAATCGTTCCCGTAGCCCTGCTAATATGCGGCGAAGGTGGAACACCATGAACTATTGACTAATGCAACAAGCAACAGAGAAAGTTAAATACGATGACCACACCTGAGGCGGCGGGTATATTTTACTCTACTTACGGCTTATTAGGAAGGAGAGCTCACACACAAAAAGCACTTTGCACCACAACAAGCGATGTACCACTTAAAACTGAGACTGCTGTCTCCGGACAGCGCACGAGACGAGAACACTAGGATCGTGACCAAATACAGTGTATAAATTTATATATTTTCAATTTTACGTATGAGCAATGTGAGTGAAGTGACGTGAGTGAACTCGACCGACACGTCCGAAATCTACAAAGCCCAAGCGCAGAATCATTATTATTATATCGTGTTCGAATGGAATTCCTATGGCCTTGCCTATATGCGACGAAAGTGCAAGTCCGACATAGCCCGCCCTAACCCCCGCGAGGTGGATATACTTAGGCATTTCCCCATCAGAAAATATCTGAAGAAAGTCTTAACTTAACTCAATTGGCTCTCGCCATCAATTAAAAAAAAATATTTACAGAATAGAATAGAATAGAATAATTTTTATTCAATATTGATTATTACATAATTCTTATTGAAAGTCATTTTTTTTATTTACCACTGGTTCGGAAAATACCTCTGTCCTAGGAAGAACCTGCAAGAAACCCAGCGGGATTTTTTTTCAAACATCACTTAACAATAATTTCGTTTATACAATTTTAAATGATATTTCATAGAACCAGCATGGTGGGGATCACTTTATTCCCAGGGGGTTATTTTCATTCATGTATTCCTTGATATTATAATAACCCTTTTTGTACAGTTTTTCTTTAATAAAACTTTTGAACTTGTTTATTGACAAACTTTGAATATGTTCTGCCTTATTGCCGTTTAAGAGCATATTGTTGGCGTTAAACCAATGTACTAATTTCGATAGAGCATTATTTACATCGTCATAATTAATTAACTGTCATTTTAGTTAGAAAATTAAAGAGGTACCGTAAATCGTAAAAAATACTATAGTATTATTTGCAGACGATACCTCTTTAATTTTCAATCTTGATTGTCCCCTACAAGATAAGGTTAGTCATTAATATAGATTAAAAACAGGAATGGGCCAAGAATCGAGCCCTGAGGAACGCCTATTGATACTACCGATCCGGAGGAACCTTTACCATTGATCACGACTTTTTGAGTTCTGTTACTTAAGTATGATGTAATAAGTCTAAGCGCCAAATTTTTTACACCGTAATGTTGTAGTTTCCTGATTAATGTCTCATGATGAACACAATCAAAAGCCTTGGAAAGATCACAGAAAATACCTAAGGCATTTTGTGAATTCTCCCAGGCATTAAAAATATATTTCATAAGCTTAACACCAGCGTCCGACGTCGAGCCACTTCTTGTAAAACCAAATTGGTTTTTATGAAGTAATTTATTTCTATTAAAAAAAATTAACATTTGATCCAAAATTATTTTTTCAAAAATTTTACTGAGAGTTGGTAGTACAGAAATAGGTCTAAAATTAGCGGGGTCCAATGTACTACCAGATTTAAATAAAGCTATTACTTTACTATACTTCATTAAATCAGGAAACACACCAGAATCGATACAAGTATTAAAAATAATAGCAAGATGAGGTGCAATTAAATCTATTATGGACGCAATAACTGTAACGGAAATCCCCCATAAATCTGCGGTTTTCTTTACATCAATGGTTTTGAAGTATTTTACAATATCTTGCGGTAATACTTTTTCAAATCTAAATTCTTTTAAACAGTTCTTAACATTCTGTTTGAGTAATGACTCGGTGACAGTTGGAGAAGTAGTCAATGAATCTGTTGTCAAGATAGGAATATCAGTGAAATATTTCTCAAACACCGCTGCGACTTCTTGATTTGATTTAGTCAATTCATTGTTAATTTTTAATTGATAGTTTGAGTTACGAGGTTTGTCTTTACCGGTTTTGCTGTTAATTATACTCCACGTCATTTTAATTTTATTATTAGCCGTCTTAATTTTGTTGCTAATATGTGACGATTTGGCTGTGGAGCAAACTCTATTAAACATTTTAAAATATTTTTGACATATTCTTTAAAAGCATCGGAAACATTATAAGATCTTTCATGGTAAAGGTTCGAATGCCACGCCGTTTACGTGGGTCAGACTGGTCGCAATTTCGAGACACGTTATAAAGAGCATTTAGCCCGCATACAGGAATTGCAATCCCGATAAATCCCATTTTGCCAAAAATCTTTTGGACACTGGACACAACCTAGCCAACGACCACTCCTTTAAAATCTTACATACGTGTAATAAAGGGCTGCGGCTGTGTGTGCTGGAACAGTTAGAGATATTAAAAAGTAATAATAATACCGTTGCATTGCTGAATGAACAAACAAATGTTACTAACTCACCTCTCTTAAATATCTTCAAGCCTGCTCTCTAATAATAGAGACCCTCGCAATATGGTTGTTTGTCACCCTCACGGTGATCGGCGATTGGTTGCGTGGTTGGAGGGTGGGCGTTGCGCGGCGTTTTGTTTTTAATTTTACAAACGGCTGCGTGAGTCCAGCGGTGATTGCTCGTATGTTTTATCGCATGACGCAGTCGCTCGCTCCTTAGGTAGAGAGCGGTTTAATCATCGGTCTGTATAAAAGGCACTTGTTTTGGCTCGCCGCTCACTTAGCGGTTAGCCACCGTAGAGTCTATATCACCTGAGGATGCTTCGTGTAGAGGCGAAACACGTGTCGTATTATCGTCAGTGGTGTGTCTTGCCTAGTGTAGTGGTGTTGGGAGTAGCGGTGCTGGGATTGGTGGTGGCGGGGATAGTGCACGCAATTGAGGGAGGGCGGGAGGGCGGGAGGTGCTCTTCATATTAGGTAAGACACATCATTTTATTTTATAACGCGGATATTTGCGAAGTAAATTTTTCTAAAAGCTTTTATATAATGGATTTCCGCAAAGTAACGCCTGATTCTATTAATTAAATTCAATTTCTAGTTCTTTGCCTAACATACCTTGTATATTTTGATGCACCAGATTAATACAGTTTTTATTATTGCTATTTTGTGAAATTACACAGTTAAGTATTGTTGAATTGTATTCTAAGGTATTTAAATTATCTTTGCTAGAGATTACCTCTTATTATCTAATTTAAATTACTTGGAACTAATTCCAAATCATTTGTAAAATTATTTTTCTGCTCAAAAAAAGCAGGTGTTAAGGTAGCCAATAATTTGGCTGGGTTAAAATATAAATAATAAGATAGCGTATTTGCTACCAGTCTCAAACTAAACTTTGATAGGTAATACCTATCTCTTGTCAAAGACTTCTTAGTTAAATTATTAATATCAACTAAATGAAATTTATCATTATTATTCGCACAATTAAATGTCAAATTTAAGTTATTGTTACATGTCAAATTATGCATCATTAAAATTAAATTATATCTTAGTTTATTGTGTGGCCACCACTCTATGTAAGGCAATGTAAACAAGATAACTTTAACCACATTTATGTTATTGAGATATTCAATATATTTTCATAATTGATTTTTGTTCATATTGCCTCTTCTCCCAACAAAATTTGTTAATATACTATTAGGGTTAAATTTACTAGTTAAAATTTTATTCATAATATCACTGAATGATGCTCCAGGCATGCAGTAATTACTTATCTGTTGCCTTTTTAAACAGTTATTTAATTATATACCCAAATTTTTACCTATTTCATCACTATACACAATTACATTTTTTTTTTCATTATATGAATTACTTTTTAAATTTATCTGCTTTGTTATGGTACTATCATAGAGTGTAGGTAAAGAAAATGAAGTGTTACTGCTTGTTATATTACTCACACACACTGTCCCTAAAGAACCTGGCATTGAGCGCTGATATTCATTTTGATATTTTAATAAAGAGTCGAAGCAAAAATAAGTTGTAATCTAGCTGGGAACTTCCTTATTTTGCAAATGATAGTATGACTATCAGTAATAAATATGCTCTAGGGTTATAAAGAAGCAATGTGTTAAATCAAAGTAAATGTCTTTAATTTTAGAGTTACGTTGCCTCTAAAAATCTCTGTTCACAATATAAAATATTACTTACAACATTTTTTGCAGGACTCATTTTATTTTATTTTTCATCGTACCCGTGCTTCGTGTCACATCATATCGGTTTTTGCCTCAAAAAGAAATGTTAAACTATAAGACAAGCAACTACGGCGAACGCAAATATACTCCCAATATTAAAGACGTGCCGTACCACGTACTGATAGTCTACGGCAGCTTTTTTTGTTCTGGAACTTTAATAAGTAGTATTACTATTGTTACCGCAGCCAGCTGTTTTTTAAAATGGAATAATGAAACAGTCGTTATAAAAACAGGTGTCAATGTTATGTCAGAAGAAGGGTTAGTATATTAAATACTAGGATACTATATATTTTATTTCACAGCATTTTTATTGAATAATGGTAAAAAAGGAGACAAACGAACACAATGTCCACCTGATGGTAAGTTGATACTGTAGCCCAGAGATCATCATCACCACCATTAAGCCCTTCACAAGTCCTGAACGGCACAAAGTACGGTCCCAAGCCACCCGCATCCATTGAATTCCTGCATTTCTTACCAGGTCGTCACTGCATCTAGTTGGGGAACGCCCTACACTTCGCCTGCTGGTACTAGGCTGCCACTCAGGTACCTTTTTTCCCCATTGATTGTCGGTTCTTCGAGTGGCCGGCCCATTGCCACTTCAGTTTACTAATCCGTTGGACTATGAAGGTAACTCGGGTTCCACTGACGATAACCTCGTTTTTAAGTCTATCACGCAGAGAAACCCCGAGCATAGCCCCCTTCAAGGCTCATTGAGCGACGTTGAGCTTCTTCATACGGCCAGCAGTGAAAGACCACGTCTCAGATACATAGGTCATCACTGGCAATACGCACTGGTTGAATAATATTGTTTTGAGGTTTTGAGGTATGCCTGAGGAGAATATGTGTCGTGATCTACTGAAGATATGGGGTAGTGGGTATTCTTACTCGCGCTAAATCTATCCTCCATAAAAAATCTTTTTTTTTAACTTATTATAAGCAAGTGCTTGACCACAATCCTACATGGTGGTAAGTGGTGATGTAGCTTTAGATGGTAAATCGCACTGTCTAACGTAACAAAAGCCTATTCATTCTTGCCTTGAAGATGTCCAGATTGTATTCAGACGGAAAGATAGATTGATTCGCTGTACGCACTATAAAATACTTTGGTTCTAATACGTACAATATTGACAAAAAAGAGGTGGAGATCCGCTGACCGTCTGGTTGTTCCATGATGGAAAGGAGAGGGCGGGAATTAAATCGTGTAATTCCTGCGCACACTCACCGAAATGCATCCTATAGAATACCGAGAGACTGACTACTCTGCGCCTGTGCTCGAGGTTAACAATATTGGTTTTAAACAAATCAAGGTTACCAATGAGCCTCGTAGCATGTCTCTCCACTGAGTCTAACGCTGCCAGGTGGCGTTTTGCAACACCAGCCCATATATGACAGCAGTACTCCATGCACGACCTGACCTGCGCTTTATATAAAGTAAGAAGCTGCCTCGGCGTGAAATACCGCCACACCCTTGCAAGGGCACCTAGTTTCCTTGCTTTGGCTCTGCACTAAATGAACCGTTCATAGTTGAGGTTTGGAGAAAATTCAACCTCTAACAAATGAAGTCGGTCAGTGTACTACTCCGAAAAGTGGGAGCGAGATTAGCATCGTCCCATTCGGAGACTGCTTGCAGTGAGAGATTCGCACACTCAACGATAGCTTCTCTTTCGGACTGGATACAATCAAACTGCAGATACGTTGTCACCCCTGAGGACTAAGATGGAATGCCTCGTTTCAAGTAAAAAGGACCTCCGCTTCTCTACACCATACGAATAACAGCAGCATTAAGCTATTTCTCGCTGGAATTCTGTGAGAGCGTGGTCCTATCCACGTCGAGCCGACCTATTCATGATACAACCATAATATAGCTGTTTCTCTTGTGAAGTAAAGTAAAGTTACAGCCTATACACGTCCCACCGCTGGGCCTCCTCTTACTTCTGAGAGGGTTTTAGGGCAAGGAAATAACCGCCGCGTTGCCCCAATCCGTGTTGACTGACTTCACATGTCTTCTAAATTTTTTTCTCATACATACAGGTTTCGTCACGATGTTTCTTTTCACCGCCGAGGACGTGGTAAATTGAAATTTAAAATTACAATTAACAATTTCATTGGTGCGGAGGGATCGAATTTTAAAAAATTACTTATATATAGAAAAATATCTACAAGATAGGGGGTTCTGTCCTATCCTGTAGTTATCCCTTTCCACATATTAATTTTATTCATTTTTTTTTACTACAGGCTTACTTATTATATGGACGAAGTAAAAATTCATGAGTATTATAGGCATCTTAGCGAAATGGACAACGACATTGCTCTACTGCTTCTTAAGGTGAGATAGTATCCATCCTCCTTCTATATTTTAAAACTTATTATTTTAAAATATCCAGCCCTTCATTACGATTATTGCTGGGTCGTGACTCAACGACGAAAAATATCACTTACGCCGTTGACAACGCCTGTATTTCTATTCTTTTTTTTCGTAAATTAAATTGTTGTTGATATTTTAATGGTGAAAATTAGGTGATTTTACATGTTTTTGCTTTCAAAAAAATAAAGATTGCATTATTAGCTTCACATAATATTACACTCACATCTTCTTCATTCAAAACACAAGATATTAAATTTTTGATTTCATAACTTATGCAATTTATTACGTTTTCATCTCGCATGACTTAAAACATTTTAAACAGCTTTATGAAGGTTTTTGTTTGTTTACTTCTCTATATGTACATCTATACATATAAATAAAATTGAAGTGTCTGCCTGTAATATAGTAAGAATTGCCTGTTATTGAACTGATGGTGTTATTTGTATGCTATTAATATAATATACATGAATAATCATTTTATTTTTATTTTTGTCCATCTGTTTTTCTGTTTAAGCTATTTTTTTTAATCCGTCTGCCTGTCTTCAGAATGGGTGAACTGGTTGTGTAATGAAACTTCAGGAACAGATAAAGAGCAATGTCAGGAGTACTCAGAGCTATATATTTTATCCGAAAAAGACACAGATGCAGAAAAACTTGATAAAAGAAATGGTTATCTCTGATCGAAATAACGCCATATTAATAGATCCTATCCAGGCGAGGGCCAAGGTCGGTCGTCAATAAAAAGACGCTAATAATAAGTTGAAAATAGAGACACGTACCACTGTCTCTATTTTCCTCCAATGAATCTAGACCTTCAACTCCAACTAACGTCCTAAAAACATAAAGTTTAGTATATTGTATCATTATTGGTAAAAATAACAATTTTATTTATGTTTCTAATGTTATTTTTAATAATTTTATAGAAAATAAGTGTAGTTTCTACTATTAAAATCATTTTAAATTATGGTATAGTCATTATTTTTAATACATCTGCTGTAACTAGCAAAACTCATACTTTTAGTAACTTTAGACAAAAGTTTTTAGTGTAAGAAATAACCGGTAGTAAAAAAAAACTTATGTTGTTAAAACCGCCACATTATCCCGCATAGTTTATAAAATATGATGTTTTGTATTTTAAAACTGTTGGAATGATTTACCACCACCTATTCGTTCCCTAAAAACATTAAGTAGTTTTAAAAAGAAATTAAAGTTGCATTATTTGGTACAACAAGTACAAAATACGTAATAACCGTCTCGAACGTAGGAACCTACGATGATATCAATATTTATATTTGTTCTACACTTTTCATGTTCGAATATTATTGATTATTAATGTGTTTCTGTTATGTATTTCATGAATGATTATTTATTAGTTTCAATGTTATTCCTTTTTTTTTTTGCTTTAAAAATCCACAGCAGGTCTCGTAACATGGCGTGTCTCTTTGACTCAGAATATTGAATTATCTAATTTTATGAAAAAAGTAAAAGTTGTCTTCCCCATAGAATAGTCAGAATAGTCAAATATCATCTTAATATTGTATGTATAAGTATATAAGTAGGTATTATTTAAATATATAGTAATATAACACACCTGTTACCTAGGTTTAGTCTCAGTGCATGTGTGTATACGTTATATAATATGTTAGCACTACCTTTTAACTCGTAATTGTTAATAAATAACTATGAACTCGTATATAACTCTTAGTTGGAAGATCACACACCGACTTGTCTGTGAAGTCACAAGGCTCCAACTGAAAACCAGCGCTGTATTTGCAGCATTATGCTGAGTTGGAGACCTATTTGATGTCACATTTTCATATTGATTTTTTTTTGGTTTTACCTTTTTGTTTGTTTGTTTTATTATTGTGTATGTACTGCTTCTCAATTGTAAATGCGTAAACAGTGTTAGACTGGTACATGCATTCTTTTCCCCCTTGTTTTTGTTTATAATATTTTTTTAATATGTGTAAAATGTGTAAATCAAATAAATAGTTCTTTCTTTCTTTCTTTCTTTCTAAAAATGTTTCTTGGCTCTGGTGAATGATTGCAATTAGTGTACTTATAGCAAAGTTGCTTTCTCACGTCGATATACCATGTAGTAAATACGTGTACGGAACAGGCTTCCCTCACAGACAGCAAGCACTCCATAAAGAATCAAAATGCAGATGCTTTGTCACCCCTGAGGATTAAGATGGAATGCCTCGTTTGCAGTAAAAAAAGATTCTCTACACTCACAATATAAAACACAGTAGCATTAGCAACACATGAGCCAAACAAAGCACATTAGCAAGTTGCCATTTTACGCTAATATTCTGTGACAGGGTTGTCCTTTCCTGATCGAGCCTATCCATTAATGCTACAATCTTAATATTACTGCAGTGTGGCTATATGATAATTAGTAAATTACAAAAATTTTAAATGTTACCGTCATTCGAACTAAATGCGTTGTAAACCTTTTAAATACGAAATCGTGGCAAAATTAAATTAGGGAGTGTAGGTCGTTTGGTTAATTTTAATCGCTTTGTGATTAACAGAGTAACAGGCTGGTTACGGATGAACACGCTGTTCTAATCCAATTAAGTTTGATATATTACGCGTACTTTATAAGCAGTGTAGTTTTCATTTCGCATGATATCTCACATACTACGAAAATAACAGTGCATTTTCCTTGAATCCCCATATTCGTCTGGGACCTACATGTCCTATGTTTATGTGGAACTTGTAACGAAAATGTTTGTGCCAACTGTTGACATAGTTGACACAAATATTTTTCCAAATTGTTTGTGCCAACTTGCCTCTCATGTCGTAAAATGCAACTGATAGGACGGTAGGTTTGTGATTTTGTAGGCGATGGGTTAGCCATCTCTCACTTCTTTCACAGTTTTCCACCAAACCTATATTTTAGGCTAAATGTAGTCCGCATAGCTCGCTGCTGTCTAAGCTCTGCCTACCCCCTCGGGGATTGCAGGCGTGATGCTACTTTGCCTTTAATAAAGCCTTTATTTACATTACAATACCTCTATCATAAAGGTACTGTAATGTAATATTACAGCCTTTGTATATCCCAGGCATAGACCTACTTTCATTTCTTAGAGGATTTTTTTTATAGGATAAGGGTGTTAATGAGGACACAGTCCATCTGATGGTAAATGGTTGCCGTGGCCCATAAAGATCTACATCCATCCTCTATTACGATTCACAAGAGGATTGATATATATTCGAGTGATCTGAGTGAACTCACCAAGGTACTTTTATACACAGTTAGTTAAATGTAACTAATTTTTACGGATTTTATCGCGTTTAATTTAACTTTTTAATTCCCGACGTTTCGGGTGCTTTACAGCACATGTGGCCACGGCGGGAACTGAGGTGTTTGACGTTCCGATGTCATAGTTAGCCCGGCTACCTTCAGTTTTTGAATATTAATTTTGTTTGTTAATTTAAACCGAAACGTCGGGAATTAAAAAGTTAAATTAAAGGCGATAAAATCCGTAAAAAATAGTTTCATTTAATGTGTAGTCTTCGCGTAAATATAAGAAATCATCACAGTTAGTTATGTAAGTTAGTTGTAATACATAGTACATTTAAGTAGATTACCGAGACTATCGTAGTGGATTTGTTTAGCCTGTAGTTAAGTGTGTGTAAATAAAAAAAAAATAAAAAAATGCAGATGCGTTGACGTGGGGACTAAGATGAAATGCCTCGTTTCCAGTAAAAAGGGCCTGCGGTTCTCTACACTCACCATACGAAACACTGTTGTCTGCCATCACATTGATCAGCTATTTTACGCTGCTATTCTGTGAGAGCGTGGTCCTTCCCCGTGATTATCGATGACTATGGAGGATCAATTACTAATGACATCATATATCTTCGATTTTTTTTATTCCTTAGACATGCGCGTTTCCTCGCGATGTTTTCCTTATCTGTCGAGTACGTGGTGAGTGAGCATTTAAAGTTATAATTAACAATTTCATTGGTGCTGGCAGGAAACGAACTAGGCCTGTCCGCGTACGTTAATGTCAACCAGTGCTTAGAGCTACCACGGTCCTCCTTATTCTTCTCATTTAAGTTATTAGTTTTATTCTTAGATTATTGATAATTCATCGCACAGAGCGCACGATGACTTATTAATAATCTAAGGTTTTATTAATATGTTTTCTTAACATAATTTTTTTTTTCATCTGTTTATATACATTGACGTAATACGAAAACGATGCAGTTTGAATAAAATATTTTGTTATAGGATCACGTAGAATTTAGTTTTAAAGTGAAGAAAGCGATCCTCGTCGAACCGGAAACCGTGCTACGAGACAACACACATATTCGGGTGTCTGGTTGGAGTACGTCTGTAAGTAGAAATATTTAGAAATGTTTCATCCAAAGTATTAAAAATTACATAATAATAAAAATATGATGAATCATTGAATTAAATTCTGAAAATTATTTGTAAACTTTCATGTTGAAATTAAGCGTGCACGTTGCACAAGTTATTTATTTATTATTTAACAAGTACACTTACAAAACTCATATATTATAACATATCACAAAAACATACATTTTTCTACCCTCTGATCTTCATATCAATTACTTAATCACGTACTCGGCGGTAAATGATCAGTAACTTTAATTTTAAAAGCAATATAAAAGACGTAAAATATGTCGATGTCTAGGTACGTGATGAGAAAAATCGGTCTTGGTCTTGCAGTTTTTGCAAAGTCGCAAGACCAAGACCAAGAGCTAAATCAAGAATGCAAGACCAATACTAAAATGCAAAACTAAACTAAAAATTATTACATCCGTTGTAAATACGAGTAGTATATATGAAAATATTTGTCATAACTTTAATATATGTTTTTACAGGAACAAAACATTTTGTGTGTTTAATATTTTCAGTTTACCCCACTAATTTTACTCTCCAAATATAAAAAAAGATACTTAGTAGTAGGTACCAGTACTTAGTAGTAGGTAACTTTACCATTGTCTTAAAAAAGAATCTATCAAGAATATTCTCGAAGTAACTATTTTTTTCCGATGTCTGGTTAGCACATGGTTGATATAGAGCTAAGTTAATTTTTTTTTATATTTTTACTTTCTTTCAGTACTTTGTACGTTTTTTAATTATTGTAAATTAGAGTGTAATTAATTATAGATATTAATTGTTGATCATTTATAATTTATATCTATAAAAGCCTTGAAAAATTTTCAAATAATTAGTAACAGACTGAATTAGCAAGATCAAGACTGAATACGCATGACCAAACCAAAACCAAGGCAACAAATATTTGAGCAAGAGCAAGAGCAAGACCGGACAAACCCGGCCGAGACCGATATCAAGACTATCTTGGTCTTGGTCTTGCTTTGCTCATCACTAGATAATTATTTATATTTGCCACATACAAGCACGAGAGGAGCATGATTCCCAAGATGAGTTACGACGAAAGGAATATGATATGTTTTTAAAATGAGACAACGGGGATATTTACGCGGAGCAGCTAACGATATGTGGTCAAGAAGGTCACTGTACTTTACTTTATTGTTTACTATTTTATGTTGCAAACAAAGAACAAGAATGTGTCGTCTATACCGGAGAGATTTCAATGTTTACACGTAGCCAGTCGCTGATTTTAAGAATGCCTATGTGAGATACTACTGGCATGAAAGGCAAGAAGTCGAGGCACGCTTTATTCTTTCAACGCGATGGGAGTGCACACTAAAAGATGGATTACAGATTAATTTAAGTTGTTATAAGTACTTACTACCGTGTTAGGGCGGCGGCGGTGTTAGATAATCCACTACTCACCCACCTACCAAGCGTGGCAACTATAGCCTATATCCTTTATAAGTCAATCTATAGGGGGGGGGGGGGGGCATATGTTCATGTGGTTTTACCACGAAACACTAAAAAACACCCTCTTAAAATGAAAATAAATTTAATGTTGGCGCCGTGCAGTTGAAATTATTTATTTTTTAACCGCATTTCTAATAAAATAGTGATGAAATAGGATCATTGGTATAAAATAAAACCAATTTTAATGATTTTGTCGTGCTTAGTTTTAACTTTTTCAATTCCCGACGCGACGCGACGTTTCGGGCACGGAACGGCTGAGGTGATTGATGTCCTCATCCTGACGCATAGTTAAATTATATAAATTTTTTATTTAAATATATTCTTCAAATATACATCTATATTGTTCTTTTGTAAACACTACTTCCATTGACTTATATATCCCTAGCGTAACTACTTCATAATGCATTAAAATATGTGCATATTATAGAAAAGCGCCATCTAATGAGCATAAAATAAAGTGCTATGTATTGTGATAACAGAGAGAAAAGGCTGCAACAGAAGTTAGAAACCGTTTGACTAGATGTCAGTTATCCGTTGTTTTCTTTTCAGAAACTGGCTCCCAAATTCAGAAACGTATTGCTACGGACAGAGATGATTGTAATAAATAAAACGGAATGTATTACATACTACGGCAAACTTATCACGCCGTCAAATTACTGTGCAAAATATAACTCGGTAGGTATCGTCTAATCATGATAATATTATTATGGTATTATATTATGGTATAATATTATGGTATCTTCAAATCTCTTTTAAGTCGAGAAGGAAGTGTCTGGAAAAATTACAACTCAATTTTGCAAAATCTAAAGAATACTGTTTGATGTGCCTGAGAAGACTTCATATATGTGTTCTATAAATCAAAATTAATAGATGTACCACTTAACATTAGATGGCAGCACTTAACTCTATTAATCCATTCAGCGATACTAAAGTGTCCGATTCAGTGTACTAAAATATACTTTTATCTGCTCTGTGCCAGAATGTAACTCAGGGCACACTCAGGGTATATAATTAGATTCCGCTCTCTTGATCTATCTTTGTTATCAATATCATTATCAATACAGCCCTACACAAGGCCACTGCTGAACACAGGCCTCCCCTAAAGAATGTCACAAAGCACCTGCGTCCAAAGCCACCTGCATCCATCAACTTCCTGCATGTCTTACCAGTTCGACACTTCATTTAGTGTGGGGTCGCCCCACACTTCACCTACCAGCACGAGGCTGCCGCTCAAGAACCTTGCTTCCCGTCCCGTCAGATAAGACTTGCTCGTTACTCACACTTCCGTGTTACTTCAAAGATGACGTGTACAGCTGCCCAGAGAACCTCTCAATCTCACTCAAAATCGCAGATGTCAGCCAGACAGATCTCTGGCAAAGAATTTGGATCCCTGGTTCCACTCGACCGCTTCTTTAATACGAGCTGTATTGAAGTTGCGTAAGTCCTACCGCATGCATTTGGAGATTTGTCTGTTCAGTTGCCTGTATGCTGTCAAATCTGCTGAAGACTTTAGCTTCATTTCCCGTCTAACAGCCTTGAGATTAAAAGTGTGATCGGAGAGTTTTTGTGTGTTTCTGCGACGGGTCTTACAGAATTTAGCTCCAACCGCATGGATGAGCTTGTCATCCAAATCGTTCACCGCGTTATCTTGATTATAAAATCTTTTTTCTCTATTATTGGAACTCTTGTTTTGACTATTAATAAGATTTCTAGAACAATAAAAAAACTAATTACACTAGTTATTTCGTGTGTGTGTGTGTGTGTGTGTGTCTGAAATATACGTATGCTTGTAAGTAAAATTAAAAAGTAAAACAAATGCTTAATAATATACTTAAAATAATATTTTTTTTTACTGCTACTACTGTAACGAATAAAAAATAATACAATAATTAGTAATAAGGTTCTTTATTTGAAACATTTTTATATTGAACGAGCGATCGGCAATCCACGACTTTTTCTGCCACTTAAAAATCAGGTGTAATATTTGACAGATTTCACAGCTGGAAAGGTAATTTGTTCGGAAAATATAAAGGTTAAATAAATAAACCAAACCAGAGATATTCATAAAAGTAAAAAAAATACTTAAAAACTTTCATTTAAAACTAACCTCTCAATTAAATAACATTGAGTAACAAAAAACTTCACCACAGTGTCAACTCGCGACATCTGGTGAGCAAATTTTTTTTATAGGATAGGGTGACAAACGAGCACACAGTCCACCTGATGGTAAGTGGTTACTGTGACCCATAGACATCTACATCTATACTCAATAAAGACTCAAGATGCAGATGCGTTGTCACCCGTGAGGACTAAGATGGAATGCCTCTTTGCCAGTAAAAAGGGTCTCCGGTTCTCTACACTCACCATAAGAAACACAGCAGCGTTAAGCTGCTATTTTACGCTGGTATTCTGTGAGAGCGTGGTCCTTCCCGGACCCATTCGTGCTACAACTATACTATTAACATAGCTGCAGCATGGCTCTACCACGCAAATGATTATTAGCAATCATTGATGCAAAATGTTTTGCATAAAAACACATTTTATATTCTGATATTTTTTTAATTTATATTTTATACCGCGCTTTTCTTTCCAGGAATATCGAATTTTCGATATCGGCGGTCCTGCAATATTTCAAGATCTCCTCGTTGGAATCGTTTCTTTTGGAGTCGACAACAAAAAAGAACCGTATTACACAGTTTTTACAAATATTTCACATTTCTATCGGTAATTCTAATCTAATTGCTACATAGTTTCTTCGGCATTAGATTACTCATGAAGAATTTTCTTATTAAACTACTTATTAACTTATTAAACGATCCTATTACGTAAGGTCTTGGTCATAGATTGATCAGGTTTTAATCTACTTTCTTTCTTTTTTAGATGTCCTTTCTGTGTTGATCTGTCAGCAGCAATGCCGATACAAACTGACACGTCCAAATGGTTACAGATTCCTTGCTATAATCGAATCTCTAAGCAGAAATTGTGTTTCTTGGCGGTTTTAACGTCACCACGCAGAATGGTTTGGTTCTCGTACAACCGATCATGTGGGGAGATCTGTTTACGACTTTGCCTTGGCAATTGGTCTGATATAACTGGTTACTTCGCCCACTAGGATTCCTAAGGTGGATAACTATACACCTTGCCTGTTGGAACTTCTGCTGATATCTCCCGCTACCATCGTGATGAAGTGAAGGCTGCCGCCGTGTATGGCACTATAGTACGGTGGATTGGGATGGGATACGGTCCTTTTTTTAATTCTTGCTTGCATAAAGACGAAAGTTCGGCCTCAAATGGAATACTGTTCTCATCTCTGGGCCGGGAGTAATCCAGTGCCAGCTTCTTCGACTTGACCACATCCCTCGCAGAGCGGCCCAAATCATCGACGACTGAGTTCCATCTGATCGGTTCGATTCATCGCTTTTTTTGTTTCATTTCATTTTCTATCGCATTTACCACGGGGAGTGTCTGAGGAATTGTTTGGATTAATTCCAGGAGCTAAAATTTACCACCGCACATCGCGACACATTTCACGATACCATCCACACTATGAACATTTGGCGATCCACCACTATGTGGCTTACCTGAAATGTTCTTCCTCGTACGACTTTTTTATACGTGGTAGAGTCATGCTGCAGCTATATTAGTAGTATAGTTGTAGCACAAATAGGTCGGCTCGACCGGGAAAGGACCACGCTCTCACAGAATACCACCGTAAGTGTAGAGAACCGGAGAGCCTTTTTACACGAAAAGAGGCATTCCATCTTAGTCCTCACATGTGCCAACGCATCTGCATTTTCATTTTTATTGAGGATAGATGTAGATGTCTATGGGTCCCAGCAACCACTTACCATTAGGTGGACTGCTCGTTTGTCACCCTATCCTATAAAAAAACCAGCCACCACCAGTAATACTTTCAGAACGTTCAAGAAAACAGCCTACTTCCTTTTAAAAGGCTGGCAATGCACCTGCGATTTCCCTGTTGTAGCATTTATTCATGTCCGACGGTAGTTACTTAAGGTGAAGGCTCCAGGGTGGCCCGCGAAATTCAAATTTTCCTACGTTTTTTGCAATTTGTAGGTCAGTGTCAGGTTGTATGTTTAATAAAATATAATTCGCGACCGTGACGAGTATGTATTTACAGAATTATAATCATTATAATCATCAATACAACCCCCTAAGTTCGTATAATCCTATTGGATGTCTATTTCCAGAAAAACTCGTTCAAAGGAATTATATGAACTTGGAGGGTTGTGCTGGTGATTTTAATGATAATAATTCTGTAAACACATACTCGTTAGGGTCGCAATTCATATTTTGTTAAACAACCAACCTGACCCTGACCTGCAAAGTCCAAAAAACGTAAAATAATTTGAATTTCGCGGGCCACCCCGGAGCTTCCACCTTTACAAGAGAAGAGCCCCATGCTCGTTTGCACCATCTACTATAAAAATATAACAAACACAATATCTCCAGCACCCCAAAGGTGGTAAACCATTTAATTTATAAAACTTATTAGTTAGTAGAATGAAACCAATTGTTGCGTGTTCCTTTAGACCAAACCCATCAATATAAAATAATCTAACATTGTAAAAATATGATTGTACATTTCGGAAAATCTAGCTAGGTTCAATAATAATATGATGAAAGTGAATGAGGATATTGATAGAATTGCTCACGTAGAATTGTTATTTAGAAATCTAAATAAAAGCCTTTTTGAACAAAACTTAAGATATGTCGAATTTCTATATAGACATATCTTAAGTTTTGTTCGTTCTAGGTATAATATTGGGTATAATATTAGGTATCTAATCGTTTCAAGTTTAAAAGTTTATTTATTTATACAAAATTGTTTGATTTAAATGTAAAATTTTAGAACTATAAATAAATAAACTTCAAAACTTTTTAAATAAATAGGTAAATAGACTTTTAAACTTAAAAACTCTCAAACTTTATTGAACCTAACAAAACAGTAAAAGATCAAAAGGCGGGCTTAATGTTAAAATCATTCACTGTATTCATATATTAAATGTTCTTAGGATTTCTTTTTATCGTTTAAAAGTTTTTCAAAAAAAAATTAAAAATTGAAAAAGTTTTACTCGCTTGACAGTTTATTTATAATAAAAATGCAAAACAAATAATATGTTTATATAAACTGACTACAGAAATAGCCGTTGAAGGCGGACTTGTACTTAATGTTTCATAAACCAAGTCCAATACCATATCAATAGCTTGCACCCTTGTCCTATAGTAGTAGAAGGACAAGCAGTTCAACAATGCAGTTTAAATAGGTTCTTCAATAAGTGTGTTCACAACAACACTGAACTAGTATTGACTTAATACCTACTGTAACTAGAATTTTGTAACTTACTACTTTTGTAACTTACTAAGTAAGTATAATAAGTAAGTAAGTATACTTACTTATTATACTTACTTCGTTTAAATATATATATTAAAAATAATTCCACAAAAACATTGAGCACTTCGATATAGAACTTCTTCAATGTTTTACCTTTTTTATTACATACTTTTAATAAAGCCACGCACAAATACTAGATAACGTATCTATGAAAGCTTCACAATCTGTTAACGTATAGGCAGTAATTGAAGTGATAAATGATAACAAAAATATCAATATTCTAAATTTTTGCACTAGAATGGATATTGATGTTGATAAACCCTCGTTTTTTTTATCTTAGTTTTACTAATATTATTATTAAAAACACTGTCTATGCTCCCGTGCATACAAACTGACATTCGTATGCCTTACTGATCGGGGTACCAGCCCACTTACCTATACTACACGGTATGAATTCCTGTAATGTAAAGAAGTTTTGAGCTCTAAACAATAAACTACTTAATACGGCACTATAATTTATAATAATGTAACAGTCTTTGTGTTTTGAAATCTAACGGCATAATAGTTTTATGATCCATATATCATTTAAAAGTAAGCGCTAACCTCATATCTACGCCCGGCTAACAGACAAACTAAAATCAGTCTAAATATCCCAACACTAAATCCTACTGACCTTATAAAGTGTCAGCATTATAAAAGTGGTGGCTTAGCAAAAGCAAAAAATAGGTGTAGAAGGCGCGTATTCTGCGCTCACCAAACCAGCTCTAGACCATGTTTATATTATGTAATGTAAATTTTCACTAAAAATCCTACAATCAGCAAACGACTTAAAACGTCGAATGATGATGATGATGAAGATATTTGGAAACCTACATTCGTGATAAATAACTATAATACAATATGAACATAAGGGCTCATAGGCACTATGCGATTACCCGCAATGCGGTCAGCAACCGCAAACAAAAATATATAGTAACGTACGTAAAATATATTTCTATGCACACTGCGAAGCGGCTATCCGCAAACCGCTCCGGTCACTCGGAGGGCTGTGGCCCGAAGGACGGCTAACCGGACGGTTGCTATTCGCACTGTGTACGTGGTACGTTTATTATGGACACCGAAAAAATTATCATCGAAATTCAGTGTCGGCCAGCAATTTGTAACACTAAATTGCCATAAATGTTTAAAACAAAGAGCATGGTAAGACTTGGTGCATATTTATACGGAAATTAATCGATATGACCGTAAATTGAAACGGTTCTTCAACCGCAGGTTGCGGTTGCGAATGCGGCTGCCCGCAGTCCGGTTGACCGCATTCTCAGCAGGACGGCTAGCCGCATTGCGGTTACCCGCGTAATGCGTATACGCGCCAAGAAAATGAGGATAGAAAAATGGTAAAGTCTTGGCACAACAAAAACATTAAAATATTTATAGAGACACCCGGGAGAGATTAGGTATCACCACATTTTTTTGTCAATCAAGTTTGTGCCAATTTACTCAAACTTACTTAGATTGAGTCGCAGTCGCTTCACGGAAAAATGTAAGCCTAATGGCCGGTCCTCGGTCCCTATAAATAATTTATGTCTGGATGTTGGTCCATATGCAATATATGTATGTATAACTCCTACACGATATAGGATATAATCGTAGTTGCGAAGGGATTTAAAAAAAAGATATAAGTACCTATATCTTTTATTCGTCGGTCAAAATCGCTATATTTAGATCATAGGCGTCATAATTCGTCGCTAACGCCGCAAAGGGACGAACCACAATTTTTCAAAAAATCACAGGCGAGCAAGAAAACATTTATTGTTCCCCGATTAGGTACTAGCTTTTTTTCATCAAAAAATTAATGTTATTTCTACTTTTCGATTAAGTCTAATATATTTAATTTTCTGATGACTGATGAAAAGCTAGTAATCGGGGAATAATAAATGTTTTCTTGCTCTCCTGTAATTTATTGAAAAATTGAGGTTCACCCCTTTACAGCGTCAACGACGAATTGTTGGAACTTTATATTCATAAATTAATAATTTTTGCAGGTGGATAATGTTGAATACCAAAAAATTGCTAAAGAAGCGCTGTGGTCAAGTTCAAGATACTGTCTTAGTAACGGAAACCGAATTCACCGATTAACGTAAAAAAAAAAAAACAATAAACAGAACACATAGCTAAAGTATTGCTATTAATATTGAATAATATAAAAGACCGCAACTGTTATATAATATATAAAATAATGAAATAAAATTTTTATATTCCTCAGTTGGATGCCCTCACGATCATTTCTTTAAGAATTTTCATTTTAGAATAGAATACATTTTTTTATTCTAATTTTATTGTAAGTATTTATTATTAAGTTATCTTTGTAATGGTAATAGGAAAAACTCCAGTTCAGTCCTGAGAAGAATCATCAAGAAACTCATCGGGAATTTTCTTTAGAGAAATATAATTTTACAATTATTTGGTATAATTATTTACATTAATGAATTATAATAGAACCAGCATGGTAGCGCTCACCTCATTCCCAGGGTATATTTTCATTAATGTATACCTAAATATTATAATAACCCTTTTTACAATGTTCATACACATTCATTGTACACATTACATTTTCATATTAATATATTGTATTACTAATGTTAATAGGTATTATATAGGGTAACTTTGAGGAACTCTTAACAATTTAAGTTATTAACCCGGGCCGGACGGCAATTGGGTGAATGGGATTTTTGGGTCTGAAGTTAACTAATTGGTTTATACTTTAAAAAATTGGTCATATTTTTCCAAAGTAAAATACAAAAAAGTAGCTCTTTTTACAATCTAGAATTCGAAAAGACATTAAAATCAGAAATAAGTTAGAAAATCGATTGTAGTGTATACTTTATGGCAATAAATCGATTAACATAAAGAATAGACTAGTGAAATTCTCGTTTCTGAACGTTATCTTCCAATAGAGGACTTCTCATTTTAAACTTGACTTGTCAGTTCAAACTTCAAACTATTTACCTACTTAAAAGGAAAAGACAGATATTCGATTCGATTCGAAACGAGCGCAATATAATCAATCGTCGATTAATTTGAGCATTTAATGTCTATTTTTGATTGTTTCTGTGTTGACAAGGGAGATAAAAAATAATTGCGTACATATTTACAGAATAATAATAAAAAATACAAAATATCAACATTCCAACAAGTAACAGTTACAACAACAATTCAAGTAATCGATCTCAGATCGATACTCCTAATATTCATTTCAATTAGTTGTTGTTGTTTTAATTTCCATTAATCGTTTCACCATTTCGTTTTATTATTACAGCTTTTTAGTGATTTTATACTAATCCTACTTTTATATCTTTAAGGAATTATAGTGAAACAGCCTATTACAGTGTAATAACAGTGAAACATCACCTGTTACAGTGTAGGTAATACATAATCTCACTTTTATTTATTCTGAATAATTTTACCAGATTTTCAGTTATGAATTGTTTATATATACGCTTTCAAATGGTCCTAGAGGCCTAGAGACGTCTCCTTCTCATTTAATTGTGTTTTACAAAACAAATATGGTTTGAATGGCAGTCGCGTTACCCCAAAGAAAAATTCTATAATTCATTACGCTATAAATATAACTAAAATATTGATATACGTGGTAGACCCATGCTGCATCTATATTAGTAGTATAGTTGTAGCACGAATGGGTCGGCTCGATTGGGGAAGGACCGCGCTCTCACAGAATACCAGCGTAAAATGGCAGCTTGACAGTGCTGTGTTTCGTATGGTGAATGTAGAGAACCGGAGACCCATTTTACTGGAATAGAAGCATTCCATCTTAGTCCTCATGGGTGACCACGCATCTGCATTTTGATTCTTTATTGAGGATAAATATAGATATCTATGGGTCACAGCAACCACTTACCATCCGGTGGACTGTGTGCTCGTTTGTCACCCTATCCTATAAAAAAACTAATCTAGCTATTTCTGCAGAACTAAGTCTGCTTATTAATTTAGATAATATAGTACTATTGCAGCTTCGTGTCCATAGCAATTCCTAGAAAAACAATGTTATCCATAAGACTTAACCCCTCCCTATTTAAGAGGACATTGGCATATATATTTATACTGTGACATTATTGTTCGAATGTTAAGCTTTAGGTACCTGTTGTAAATTCTATACATTTTGTTTTATTGCCGTTTAAAAAGAAGTTATTGACATTAAACCAATGTACTGATTTCGATAGAGGATTATTAACATCGTCATAATTAATGAAATTTCATTTGAGTTTCAAAATTATATATGTATCATCAGCAAATAATACTATGTCGTGATAGTCCCCTACGAGATAATGTAAGCCATTAATATAAATTAAGAACAGAAATGCGTCAAGATTCGAGCATTGAGGTATACCCGACCCGACCGGACCAGTCAAATTCGGATCGAGTCAAATAAAAGTCCCATCTGGAGAAACTCTTACCATCGATAACGCCTTTTTGAGTGCTGTTACTTAAATATAAACTAATAAGTCAATATTTTTGTCACCGGAATGTTGTAGTTTTTTGATAAATGTCTTTGATAAATGTTTTGATGAACACATTTGAAAGCCTTAGAAAGATCATAAAAAATACCTAAAGCATCTTGTGAATTCTAGCTATTAAAAATGTATTTAATATGATCGGCACCGGCGTTCGTCGCCGAGCGACTCCATATAAAAACCAAATTGATTTAATGGAGTAATTTGTATTAAAAAACTTAATATTAAATCACTCTCAGATAAATTTTAAAAAATTACTTTTGGATAAAACAATATTTAAAAAAAAATATCTGAGAGTTAGTATTACAGAAATAAGTCTTAAATTAGCGGGGTCTAAAATTGTAATACTCGTAAAAGTGAAATGTTTCTCAAAACTGCTACTAAAAATTTGTCCTTAAGCAAAAAATAGTAATAAATAAAAAGAACACCGATTCGTACCAAGGATGATTCGCATAGCTATTGAAATAAAAAAAATTATAGAGAACATTGCTGGGTGCTACCATCTGCTTGGGATCCATAATTAGTATGTAATAATTAATTATTTATTAATTTAGCTAGTTCTGCGTCGATCGAATCAAAATAATAAAAAGTTAAAAAAGTAGACTTCGTTAACTATGACGTCAAAGATGTCAAACACCCCCCCTCCCGTGACCATGGTTGCTGTATCGTGCCCGTGTAAAATTAAACGCGATAAAATCTGTAAAATTAAAAATTGTTGCTTTATTTTTATACCGTTTATGATGGAATGATGGGATTTACAACTTCTTCTCGGCAAAAACGTCGAATAAATTTAATAATTTGTACTCTTATCCATTTTTTGAAATACCACACGTTTGAATAGATACTTGGACTATTTTTTCTCGAACACCCATCGCCGTGCGACACTATGCCGACTACTACACTGTAAAAAAAAATAAAAAATATTCTAAAAAATATTTGAATAACAAGCCGTAGTAGCTCAACTCATAGCTTCTTCACGCTCTCAGAAATAAGACAATGCCCAGGAGAGAGCCGAACATAAGCTGCGACTTTACTTTTTAACTTAACTTTTATAAACGTATAATGAAAATTAAAATATTGAATAATTAATATACCTAAAATATTTTATTGGTATTTATTCATAAAATAATTTTAATATACATTTATATAAATTTTATTCAATAAATGTTGGATCAATGCACCTTCAGATCCAACCCAAAACCGTGTCGTATACGTCCATAGAAATGGAACACATGAAATAGGACTATATAATATAATTGATAAAATACTAATGTACCCATTCCACAGCACGCCGCCTCCTGAATCACCCTTACAGGTATCCCGAACTCCATCTCCATACAAACAAAACATATCCGCTGTGAGATTTACATCATGCATTTTTTCGCAGTCTCCTTTAGGTACATAACGTAGATAAGTTTTCTGTAGGCCTTTAGTAGAGAGTGGGCCCCCGTACTGAAAAGAAGCAAATAAATTTGGAAGGAATGGTTTGCATATATGCTCGTATATTCACAAGTCTACTGCTGTACACTAACTTCTCCGAAGGAAAGCCATAATAATAAAGCTATAGTAACCGACATAGCCCAACGGATAAGTTAGATAGCGTAGGGCCGACAAACGAGCACAGAGTCCACCTGATGAAAAGTGGTCGCTGTGACCCATAGACATCTACATCTATCCTCGATAAAGAATCAAAATGCAGATGCGTTATCACCCGTGAGGACTAAGATGGAATGCCTCTTTTCCAGTAAAAAGGGTCTCCGGTTCTCTACAATCACCATACGAAACACAGCAGTGTTAAGCTGCTATTTTACGCTGGTATTCTGTGAGAGCGTGGTCCTTCCCCGGTCGAGCCGACCCATTCGTGCTACAACTATACTACTAATATAGCTGCAGCGTGGCTCTACCACGTTTAGACGTTTACCTTGCACCAATACTATACTCATCATTGATAAAGGTGAGTGTCTAAAGAGGCGATAAAGGGCATTAGAAACAGTAAATAGGCAGCAGCACATTCCTGATAAAAACTCAAAATATTAAAAAAAAACTGCGGTAGACAACCCGCCCGCTACACGAGCCAACTATGAAAATGTCCTACCTATGAGGCATCTATTGAGCTATGTTAAGCAGTGGACTTATAATAGGCTATAATGAAAGCTTTTATATATGGACTATGTTAATAAATACAAATAATTTAAACATTAAATTATAAATGGAAACAAAAAATGAAATTAATAAAAACGAGTTAAAGTAGCATCGTCAATAAAATATTATCATAAATATTTATTAGAAATCTTACTGCTTATAAATACTATGGCACTGCACATTGAATATTGAACTCCCTGACGCAAGCATAGATTAATTGGAATCAGGTTGTTCAGGACTTTGGTTTGTTGTATATTCGCCAATGCGTAGTATAAATTATCGTCAAGTAAATGCAATACTGAAATCTATTGTAATAAGTGATATGATTTTATATCACAATTTTACCGCTTATTTAAATCCAACGTAACGTACTTTAAACGCTTATTTTGCGAAAACATTCGATTTTCAATTCAATCGATAGAAATAAAAAAAATATTATTAAGTGGCGAAGCTTGCGAAGTCACTTATTGATTTCACGATGTCTGTCCGTCTGTCCGTCTGTCCGTCTATCCGTCTGTCCCACGATTAACTCGAGAACGGTTTCGAATTTTCAAATTCTGTTTTCAGCAATCGATTACTGATCACCCAGGCATCTGAACCTCCTATTTTGAAACTGATTGCTCAACGGCAACCGTTAGAAACCGCTACAAAGCTGATTGCTTCGCCACTTTGCTATGCTGTTAGCTTGCTAGGTTTATTATAAATTAGAGTTGGAGTAGGTGTCTACCATAGTCCATGGTAGATACCCACTTCAACTCTGAGGACTGAGATGGAACATCTCATTACCAATACCATACAAACCACAGCATCATTATGCTGTTTTTAAATTTATATAGGTATTACTAGTGATCCCCCCCGGCTTCACTCAGATGACTGCTGGCTCTCGACAATAGCGCCATCTACCGTGTCAAATTGTAAACCTATACCGTCCAGAAATGAACTCAAATACACACAAAAAATTTCATCACAATAACTGGTCGAGCTATTTTAGAGTTTTGTGAGATTAATTTTCTCTATACATTTAAAAAAAAGAATTTTTACACTTTATGTGTCATAAGCTCATAAGTGAACGGCAGAGTCGGGAAGGGACGCCCTAGACGAAGATTTATCGACCAAATCGGCGATACATTGAAAATTTGCCAGATTAGGAGTACCCTTAACCGACGAGCGTGTATGAGTAGATATATGAATGTAAAGGAGGCGAGAGAGATGTGTCAGGATCGCGCCAAATGGAAGTCCGTAGTCTCTGCCTACCCCTCTGGGTGACAGGCGTGAGTGTTTATGTATCATAAAATGGGACGTACTTCAAAAATTACCATGGCATGAAACATAAAAGTATTTTTAAAAATATACCCTTTTAATCAGCTATCTAAAAAGGTAATAATATCCCGGTGAAATCAATGAATAATAATAACAAAAGGGTCTTTTACTTAACTCAGGTAGAGAACCTCAAAGGATGATTGCTCTTAGGAACGATATTGCACACTTTCATTTACTTGATGCCTGATTGATTGTTGACAACTATTCAGAAAGCCGACGGCCATTTTAAATTGAGTCGTAGCGACGTTCGTTAGTTAGTTTCTACTATCGCTGTGCTTGCACGTGTTTAAACTTTCTTCTAACAAACTCTCATCGCGTTAATTCATTTGTTATTGTTTTGAGTCATTATGGTATTATTGCTGTTACCATTATCTGTTACTGACTGTTCATTGTTACTGTTTTTGTGCATCGAAGTTAAAATGGCGTTATATTCTAATAAAGAATATGCCAACATCATGTACTGTTATGGTTTTCCTGACGGCAACTTTGCTGTAGTAAAAAAGTAAAATATCAGAATATCAACGTTGCTTTCGTGATCGCCGGCTTCCCGACTTTCTGTCTTTAGAGCTACCTATCGACGATTAAGTGAAAGCGGCACTATTCACAGAAATCAAGTGGATACTGGCAGACCTGATTCGACTTCCCTCTGTCACTTCTTACGACACCCACGGGATGATATGGGATAGTGGATAGTCTTACACCTGCCAAGCGTGGCTACTATACCAAAACCCTCCTATGAGGCAATAAATATATATATTTCATCATCAATCAGTGAATGAAATTCATGCTATTTTTAATGTCTTTCTGCCTATCACTTCTTATTGATTTTAAGTTCCTGAAAAATGTAGCATTTCTTCTAAAAACTCAATTTGATAACTATCGCATCGAAAAGCTCTTATATTTATTAGGAGATTGCAGTGTACTTGAGTATAAGAAATCAAACAAATTATTAATTTCAAGACAATCTCAATAATATTTAAATCTACGTAGGTATTAGTAAACCATATTTACACTTTTTTATATTTCATTTAATTTTCACAGACAAATTTATAAATATTTTCTTATATTTATAAATTTTCTGTGTCTATTTTTAAAAATGGGAGCAGAGTTGGTTAACATCAATGGGAAATTAATAAACCTTACTATTGTACCAATAGTGGGGGGTGGCGCATGCCTTTTCCGTACGCTTTCTTATTAGTTGTATGGCACACAAGAACACTCTAGTGATATTCGTAAAGAAATTGTGCGTCATGTGACGAACAACTGGGATGAATTTGCTGTTTTAAATATCATGACCGTGATGGCAACAATCATGGGACAAAAGAAGAGTATACATTAGATATGTTTCAACACTCTACATATGGCGGTTTCTGCGAGTTAGTTGCAGCCAGTCAAGTATACCCATTTGTATTTGAAGTTTGTCGAATGCAACCTGTATGCCTAATTTGGTACAGAAGACCAACCCATCAAAAGGTTACGTTTTTTCTCAAGATCTTTCTAATGGTCACTTTGATGTCTGCTCTGATGCTGTTGGAGATAATAAAACTGATGAGCGTTCAATAGCCAAAAAACAACGCATTGAAATGGCTGTATCTCCGACGTTTACTCAACCTTCACCAATTTCTAATGTTGTGCAAGACTTTAATTCGCCAACTTATACAATTATTGAATCGGAATGTGAGTCAGATTTAATTTCTTCTTTGTCCACGAATAATTATATAGAATCTCCAACATCCACTACCCAAGAGTCAGTCCAAAATGAGATTAGTTTGAAAAATAAGTCAAAAAAATAAGGCGAAGAAACGCAGGACTAAGGTTACCACTCAAGTGTAAAACTTAAGTACAAGGATGAATCTGTGGGAATGTGCTGTGACTCAGGAAAGGTCCAGCTCGAACCTTTGCAAAAGCTACACGTATCGCAGGGTGTAGTCCAACTTGTATTGATAATATTTTTACAGGTGTTGTACCAATCAACAAATCAATAATTCAAAATCATAGTTCAGATCACTGTGGACAACTGGTTTCGTTACCTTATATGAACAAAAAACAGGTAATTGAGAAAATTGTATTTGTTCCTATTAATGCAAAACGCCTGGAGAGATTTAGAAGTAATATGGTAAAAAACTTTCCATCGCTTTCTTCTAAGAACAATGCAGACTATTTATATGGAGAATTATTTACCCTTATAAACAATGAATTTAATAAAACATTCTCCAGAAACAGTCGCAAGACATTTAATGAGTGGGCGACAGTAGGAATTCATAAAAGCAGACGAAGGTTATATGACCTTTACCAAGAAAGATCTTATAATCTTTCCGATGCTTTTAAAGCATATGTAAAAAATTATTCTAAAATGTTTAAAAGAGTCTGCTCCACAGCCAAATCATTACACATTAGGGATGTAAACACCAGCACACTTAAAAAGAAGTATAACTTCGCCTCCAGGTCCTTCAAAAGAGTTATTGCCAAGGCAAAGTCAGAGCACATAGGCAGAATTGGCGAGAAACTAGTTCGCCTTCCTTCGGGTACCCGTGAATTCTAGTCTCTCGCCAAGGCTGTCCAAGGGAATTTCTGTAAGGCATCACTACCATCTCTGCACAGGGAGGACGACTCACTGCCCCAAGACGCAAAAGACAAAGCTGACATTTTAGGCTCCCTTTTTGCGTCCAACTCGACTCTTGATGACGGGGGGAAAACACTGCCGACCATCCCGCGGCGTGAGTGCTCCATGCCGGATGTGCTGTTCTCACAGCGCTCAGTTCGCAAAGCACTTCTCTCCCTGGACATCCAGAAGTCGAGTGGGCCTGACGGAATCCCCCCAATTTTGTTGAGGACGTGTGCTCCGGAGTTGCCATCGGTCTTAACGCGTCTTTTCCGGTACTCCTACTCCCAAGGCGTAGTCGCGAATTCATTGAAGACAGCTTTTGTCCACCCGATCCCTAAAAAAGGCGACCGCTCAGACCCGTCCAACTATAGGCCTATCGCGATCA